AGTGCGCGTAGTCAGTTCACATTTGTAACGTCATGCAAAATGTAAATAGGAAAATATAATTCAGTGGCGGCGCGTGGAAAAAATGCGGTATACCGGTATCTTATGTATACGTATGGATATTAGGATTACACACCGCAGTATTTTAGATACCGTATCAGCCATATATTAAGAAAGCTTAAAGATGTCACAAAACGAAAACTAGGCACTGAAAACAGACATTTTTTAGATGAATGGCAGCGTTTTTATTTCTTTATTGAAAAAAATCGAACTTCAGCGATTAGTCTTCCGTGCCAACAAAATATTTCAGTTCTGAAGGAATACAACATTATGCGTTATTATGATCAGTTGACGAGCGTATTTCAAAATTTAATTCATTGCTTGATTCGTACAAAAGTCAAACAAACATGTTCAAAATATTGTGAAATGTGTAACAAAACAAGCCATAAATAGCCATTCATACGATGCCATATGCTTGATGAGCAAGTAATTTCATTAGTCATTATCAGGTGCAAATTACTTGCTGAAAGCCGTGCTTGTTATTTATTCCTCGGGAATTCTATCAGCTAAATATCATAATTATTAATTTCATTACATAACAAACTGCGATGCTAGGTGTATCTAAAATCAAGCTTAGAGCCTATTTTGGTGCCTATTTCTCAAAATTTCCTGAACCCCAGCCGTGTCGTCGCGCACTTTTTCTCGCTCCCCTTTTTTGGCCCTACAATTTTATTCTGCGGTGTATTTTGGCTCGCCGTCAATCAATTTGGGGGACCCCTCATGTACATCGTTTCTTAAAGACATACAAAATTTTGAGAATACAAATAGTTTCATCGCTAATAGCAAATTATTTACCACCCCCTAAATTTCGAAACACCCCCCCCAAAAAATTAAAAGCTGGGGAACATACTGGTATGCAAGGAAATAGTTTGGGATAACGTTATCACTTTAAGTCTGCAAAGTATCTCACTACCTAATGATGGAAGACTTAAAAATATATGGAGCATTCGTGATAGTCCTCTCCAGTGTGACAGAATAGGATTTCGCAGTAATGGTAGGTAGTGGCGGGACGGTTTTACGGTAATACAGAACCGCTGTTCGGAATAGCCAACATGTTGGCTCCATAAATTCTCATTGGCAGGTTGGTGGGAAATAGCCTGATTTTATGACAATTTCTGTTCATCCCGACTTTAGTTGGAGAGGACAGTGAAAGACGAACGCAACTGAAAGCCTGGTAATTTTATCTTTATTTTGTGATATTATTAGGAGTGTTTTTTTTTCAGGCTGGGCTAATATATCAGTTCAATTGAATATATATAAAACTGTATCATGTTGTGCCAGTTAGTATTTGGTAAGTTGCATAATAATAGTTTTATTTGAACGACTGGACAATCACTGAAGCTCCGTCAAGCTAATACCCGAATTGCGTAAGTCATCTTTGGCGGCTTTGAGTTTTTATTTATAAAATAGGTATTTATGTAATGGTGCGCACCTGTCTGTTAATTCAAATTTTATTTTAGGAATTCTGAAACCCATAAAAATGGAGATTTTGTATGACATGCCCATTTGTGCAATTGTTTTGTCATAATGAATTATCGTTGTTACCGCAGGACTATTGTGACGTCACAAAGGCAAAATAACCTCGCCGAAGGATTTTCGAGTTTTTGCATCTCAGATTCTAGCTTAGCGCTTATAAATTTGAATTTATTCTATAGTATAGGAAGGCGTGCACTTGTGATATTCACTGTCTGAGTCCAATTCACCTTGGTTGGCTTTTATATAAGGGTACATTGCTGTTTTATTTTATAATTTCGGTGGGTTTGCAGAGCATGTTATATTGATGAAATATATATTTTTAAACATAAAAAAAATGTAATTGAAACAGATTAGCAATATTGGGGATTAGACATTGTAGATACTAGAAATTACATTCGTTTTTGGATTGTTTGGTTTTCAGGACTGGTGCATATAGGCAAGTTGCAAAATTGCGTATGTCCCCAAGCCATAGACACATTTCTGCCTAAGTCACAGTGCGCCATTATGACGCCACATAACCGAGTCATACAAATTAAATTAAACCCGGCTACGATCAAAAAATTGAACCATGGCAAATTATTGACTCTCAATGGCACAACAATAATTAGGAAGTTTTTTACGTTTTTCTCAAAACTGCTAAAAATGACTTACGCAATTCGGTTATTAGCGTGACGGTATGCTACAGCTCGTGAATGAAGTTGCCAAAGTTCAATTCATTACTTGAAGGTGAATATAGTTTATTGAACAACTATTATAATGTCAAATATATATCCATTTGTTTTAGAAACATCTGATTGAGTTTTGTTTTGAGTATTAAAAATTAATTTATTTAAACCAATCAATTCTATATATTCTAGCATTTCTCAATCGTAAAATTAACTAATTATACATCTGATGTAAACCATTTAATTCACCAACACGTTCCATATTCCTAACCACATGCTTGATTACTGAGTACCTTATTTAGATTTCGTTTGGAAACTAACAAGAAGAGTAATTCCATAAGCAAGGTCCTATCTATATCGATTCGGTGCAATATTGTATTTTTCCCAACCCAATTCAACAAAATTCATTTTTGCTCAAGATGCATTTTTGATCAAATAAAGTCCGCGTGGCCCATTATGTGTTTTTAACCTAGTCCAATATTTTTTAAAAAGATATACTTTATATTATCTTGTGAAAAATAAATTTATTTTTTGTTTTCCTAATCACAGATTTGGGAAAATACGATGCTGACAGGAGATTATTGAACGTGTACTGAAATCTGTCAAAGATGTTGTGCTCCTGACTAACACGACGCAACGCGGAGATAAATAGAGAGGGATTCCTAGCAACCACAATTACGGTAATTAGTTTTGGAGGTATAGATACACAAATGAAATTTGGGCGACAGAATTAACTATATGAAAGATTAGGTAGGAGGATATCATAACAATGAGATTTATTGCATTAAGGCTTGCGTAAAAATGAAAGAAAAAAAAATAACGACCAAAACGAATGATATGATCAAATAAGAAAAAACCTCACATTCAGCAAAATTGGCATCGAAAACTGTATCAGAAATAGGCCTGATGACGGACGAATTCGACTAATGAATTCGGCCTTGACCGAATGCATTGAGATTTGTGCCCGTAAACTCAATGGAATTCCTGAATCGAATTCTAATCTATATTCTGAGGATCTTCGAGTCCGACGTCCTTTCCTTCCAAAAGGCTGTGGACACTGAAAAAATTTTGTGTTATCAATGTTCTGTTACAATTACGGTTTCGCTATTTTTATCGGTCTCGAGTGCCTGGATGCAAACATCAATTGTCTTAAGAAAGCAGTTTTCAGGATACCAGATTGGATTTATAAGCCGGAAATTTTGCGTCGCTCAGTCAGACAAAACTTCAAACTATGGTGTCACACTGGCGTGCAACATATGTCACATAATCGATTTCCCATGATTCCGCTGAACTTACCTAATTTTAAGGGTAATTCAGGTTCATGTGTTTACTTTCAGAGGTAATGTGTACTGAAACTTCACGCACCAAAACAAGAGAGTCAGTCGGGGAAAAATGTTTAAATTGTCAGCTTCATGCTTGGGTCAGCGCAGTTACAAATGTTGTGCTTCTTATTAACACGACGCAACGCGGAGATAAATGGAGGGGGATTCCTAGCAATCACGATTACGGTTATTAATTTTGGAGTTATAGATAGATACACAAAGAAATTTGGGCAACAGAATTAACTATATGAAAGATTAAGTAGGAAGAAACCATAGCAAGTAGATTTAGGGCATTAAGGCTTGCGCAAGAATGGAGAAAATGAATAAATAACGACCAAAACGAATAATATGATCAAACAAGAAAAAAAACATCAAATTCAGCAAAATTGGCATCGAAAACCGTATCAGAAATAGGCCTGATGACCGACGAATTCGACTAAGGAATGTGGCATTCACTGAATGCATTAAGATTTGTGCGGTAGATATTTTTTAATTCTTTTTTCAATGTATTATAGTTATTAGAGCGTATAGTAACTGTAAGTATATTTCAAAGTTTTATGCCCATGAACTCAATGGAATTTTGTGTACGACTGTAGTTCCCGAATTGAATTCTAATCTATATTCTGGGGATCTTCGAGTCGGATCTCTCTTCCTTCCAAATGCGGTGGTCACTGAAAAGATTTTGTTTATCAAAATTCTGTTACAATTACGGTTTTGCTATTCTCGTCAGTCTTGACGAGTGGTAGGCTGCAAGTTGTATCCGTTGTCTTGAGGAAACCATTTTCAGGGTACCAGATTGGATTTGTAAGCCGTTTTCAAATTTTACGGCTCTTGTCTAAAAATTGAGTGCCAAAAATATTGCCAGCGAAGACGAAATTTTTGGATCGCTCACCCAGACAAAACTTTAAATTCTGGCGTGCAACATATGTCACGCACAATGATCAATTTCCCATGATACCACTGCACTTACATAATTTTCAAGGTAATTCAGGTTTATATGTTTACTTTCAGAGGTAATGTGTACCGAAACTTCACGCACAAAAGTCAGTTATCCTCGTTTCTACGACTGTGTTTGTAGCTTTCTTTCCTATATTATGTCTTGTATTGGACTGTGAACATATTCAAATATATAAAGTCTAAAGAACATTTTATCAGACTCTAGGCTGCTCTAGGCTGAATATGACTTTCAAAAATGATGGACTGCAGAACGAAACAAATTGCAACATCAACACAACCCTGTCGATAGCTGAATTTATTAAATCATGATTTTCATTTTATAAACGTAATCTGTATCTGTATGCTTCCATGTATAGTTTGTATGTAACTGCATTACATCTTGATGATTAAATTTTCTGTCTGCTCTATACCCCAGTAAAAGACAGCTGTTAGGCTGAAATGTTTTAGAACTAAAACCTTTCATTTTGGAGTATTGTAAGTAATTTGAGTCATATTTTTCAGTTCTACATTATAAATTTAAAAATATTTCATTCTTCGACTACAATATGGCATTTTTTATTGTGGTAAAAATAATACTTGTAACGTTGATTGCATATGGGGATTTTTCAGAAGATAAAACTTGCGGAACTTCACTGAAAAAGGACATCGAATGGAATAATGTGCGTGAGTAGTGTGAACTATGCTGTTGAAGATAGATTTCATTAATTTTTATGTAACAATTTTTCAGCTTCCAGCGGGTCCTTATTATGATGTTCTGGATATACCTAAATCAGCGATACCAATCGGCTGCTGGAATATACAGAATATTACCGAAGAAAAAGATCGCGTGGTTTTAGATATGACAACATTTTCAAACAGGTATCGTACACAACCCCATTGACCCGTGCTGAGCATAATCGCAATCACCACGACAAGTATTTTTGTTATCAGGGAACTCAGTAGATTACCTATTCGCGAGGAGTTTTTCCGTACAAACAAAATTGGTGTTTACAAGATGAATAGATTAAGTGGTGAGTGTATTTGGCGCTGCAATTGATATTTCAACGTCTTATACCTATTACCAATAATCACGTTGATGTTTCAACGATTTTTTCTATATTCTCGGATTCAGGGATCGAACTGGGAACGGCGTTACACCATTTCAATGATGATAGTAGCGTCGGAATACGGAAGCTTGCTGATGCGGGTATGCAATTTTTTTCTCTCATTTTTTTTTCACTGTTTGTTTCTTTCGATGTTACTTATTCTACCGGAAGGCCGGTGCAATATGTTCATTAGTTTTAGGTGGAACATTTTCATGCAATGTTTCCTTTCTTTGGATTATAGATTTGTACACGTGTTATATAATTAATCATTTATCCAATTATTTTTTAATATCACGAGTGACCAGTCAGAAATTCGCAAGTCGCATACGACTCATTACTGATGCAGTAACAGTATATGTGAATTTTCGGCGCTCCCGTAGAATGGGCAACAATATGGCGGACATAATATGTGTACCAGGTTAGGGTTACGCTATAATTTAATTCCAATTTTCCTTATTTTAGTTCTATCACGAGTTCGGCGACTAGCCAAGTGACTCCCGTAGTATTTGTATCTAAAATTATGGCCCAACCTTAACCTGATAAACATTTATACTACGTCCCGGTGTCCGCCATCTTGTTGCACTTACCACGGGAGTACCGAACTTTCTATATATACAATATTGAGTAATCTCAAATTCAATCCGAGATATAGTTTCAAGGCCAGTCATTCCCAACCGGCAGTCCACTCACCTCTAAGGGGTCCGAAAGGGTTTCAGAGGTCTGTGGGTGCACGAGATGTAGCACAACGTCAAATGACCAATCAATTCTATATATAAAATTTGGCATTTTGTGAGATATCAGACGTTTATCTCTCTGCATCGTTTTACCCGTGAGCTAAATTGATCGTTATTTTTCCCATGTATGTTTCTTCTGCCAGCGATTTCCTTTTTATCTCCGTAACAATCAAGAACAAAATTTTTTTGAAGTTGATCAGACATTTTTTACACTCGGCAGACATTCAAACATGGTTGTAACCATTGTTTCGTTTATGTAATCTTGACTGCCATTTGCCATTTTTTTAATTTTATAGATATAAATCGAATTACTAAGCCCCCTGTATTTTGAGAATAGTCGGAGTTTAGTTGTGTAACCTTGTGGATTTATTATATTGGACATTTCAGAAAAAAAAAACTATCCGATTGGCAGGCATTTAATTCGAAATGTTCTGATGCTAAACGAAGATGATGCCTGAATTTGTCCTAACAGACGTCTGCACGTTTGCATCCTGTTCTACAGTTATCAATAAAAACGTACTTCCTGTTCACAGAGGCTGCAGATGTTGCTCGACACGAATTCATATTTCTGACTGACTATAAGACTTATTTCATGTTCGTTGGATGCGAAGAAGAAGGTAAGTTTGAGAGGATTGAAGTCATACGTAAATGTACAGAGACGGTGATGTGAAGTACAAAGTAAGAAAAATGAAATATTAAGATCAATTGTTTACATATCCCTTTTAGCTCCAAATTGACATTTGAACACTGTTTCAAAATTTAAACATGTTTTGTCATTAAGGCACAAAACGACTCCTACACAACATTTTATTAGCAAATCACATATTATTTAAATTTATGTCACAATAAATGATTTTTTTTTACAAACATATCTGCGTAATAGCGATTTTATTCCATAGATTATAGAACATGGGGGTGCAACAGGTGGCCCACGGGCCCCAACCCGGCCCGCCACGTCATTTAGTGTGACCCCTGTTTGAGCATAAAATTCTATTCCGACATTTCATGCTACACCTATTGTCAAAGCTGATGTTAACAAAATATGCAAGTTTAATATCTATCTATCCTAACTCAGAACAGTTGGCGCTAAAAAGGGGCCTATATGGTACACGCCATTTTCAAGCAGCGATTCCATTGGATAACTCCGATTTCTGGAACATGTGTATGAGTGACTCTACACATAGCTGTCGGGTGGATCGAATCCCCCATGTATCCATGAAAACAAATAACGAGCTTTTTTTGCTGTTCAGGTTGTCTTGTCGAAAAGTATAGAAATAAGCAGTGGGTGAAAATGAACATGTCCGGCACTATATAATTGGGTCATTGTTTCCAAACCAAAACTGCATTTCCAATTATAGCGGTATTTTTTCTGCTAGGCCATCTAGGGTTGTAGTACGAGTGACGAGTCTTACAATAAAACTGAGCAGCAGTTGAAAAAACTACATGCTTCCATTTGTTATAGCTCACTGTGTAGTCTACTCCAGTCTCCGACCATGACCGCCCAAAAATCACTAAATTAGTCCACTTTAACAAAACATCTTTGGACCATGCCTAAAGATAACAAAACTGAATCCAGAGTATCCACTATCAATACATCACATGACAACTTGCTACTGTACTGCATTCTGTCTGGAGTGTTAAAATTTTATGACCCAGGACAAGACACAATCAAATATGATCGGAGATTAGGGTGCTAAAATCTATGTCTGAATAATATACTTAAACGTGAGTTACAAAGCAAACGTGTACGTTCCTACCAAGGCCTGCAGAAACTACAGCAAGGTAAAGAAGCCTAGATTGGGCCTTAGTCCTTAGGATATCCCGCAAAAATTAAATTTTTTTTTCTGGAAATACTATTATTTCTAACTCGTCTTAAGTTACTATAACTTAGATGATACTTTATGTTAACACTGTCGTAATAATACTCTTACCAAGTTTGTACTAATGATCCTCTAATTGAATATATATATATATATATGTCTATACATTCCAGTGATTGATGCAAAATCTTTGTCAATTTTTCCAATTAGTATTTATTTGTATATATTTTTTTATTACCAGATTGGATGGCGTACGTAAAAGCGACCACTCCACAAATCACCGTCAGCCAATTGAATCACATATCGAATGCACTAGTGGAGAATGGTTTGAAAGCACCGGTGATGGTTTTGAAAAATGAGTGTGTGAATGGCGGCAAGCCGGGGAATAGAGTTGTTATTGTGTAAAAATATTTACATGGTATATATATATATATATCAAAATATTGTTGTAAATAGTCAGAATGCTTAAACAAAAATGATATATATATATATATATCAAAATATTGTTGTAAATAGTCAGAATGCTTAAACAAAAATGAGTGTGACATTTCATTTGCTTTCAGTCACCGAGAAAAGGCGAGGAAGAGTTTTAGAAAGTCTCATAATATCTACAACAAGTTCTCAGAACATCAAGCGTCGTTGAACAAATGTTAAATCAAATGTTGTTAATAATTAACAAAGTTTTATCCAAGTTTTTGTTGGACCTCTGCTATAGGAGACCCTCAATCTTGGTCGTCCTGTTTGTTCGTGTGCCAAGCTGTAGCTCCGTAACGGCTGGACCAATATCTGAAATTTCACATGTAGGTTATCCAGTCAACCTAGTAATTTGCGCTTCAACGGAAGTCTGGATTAGTGTGGCAACAGCGAAAAACGCGCCGATTGTCAAGAAATTTTTAATTTTTACACAACTTATCGCGGGTTTCTCGTCAAACATGTCGGAATTTTAAGAACGCTGCCTTCAGCAGAGGAAAATACTTTCCGAACAAGTCCTCTTTCGTTGAGTGCGAGCATTAACTATCAGAGTATATCCTGGGCTCCAACTTATTATAATAGGGGGTGAATATATGAAAATTCAATCATAAATGACATTGTCTATTTCACACCGATACCTCTCGGCAGTTCCAAATATTCACAAATAGCCTCATGTGTGATATATATACCTCTAATTAAGCCCACTAAGCGTACTTCCATTTTTACAACCTATCATAGTTTTTAATTTTTTGAACTTTCTTCATGTGCTTTTGCTTTCTCAACTCAATGCTTTAGTTTTTCCAAAATACATCTCAAGTGAGTTAAACACATTAAAATTTTAGCCACATTTTCCATCATAAAGACAAAGAGAAAAAGTATCTCATAAATTTCATCTTTTTCGCTCGCAGGTTTGTGGTAATAATACTCTTAAAAGGAAACACGATTATCCATCTCAGTCTCACTGTTAATATTTAATACCAATTACAAAAAAGGAATAAATTTTAATGCTTAATTTGAGGTAAAACCAGTTGCTACACTCACACAAGTTCTTCTCAGGGAATATCAATGCAAGAGCAACGCTTCTGTACTATTGGAGTAACCTCGATACGCGGAAGGTATGCGTTGATCATTGATCAAGTTCAACAGAAAATTGATGATGAAAAAATATGGAAGTAATCATCAAAATGTCATTCTCTAAACCGGGGGTGCGCAATCTGCGGCCCACGAAGAAAATTTGTGCGGCCCGCGGAAATTTCAATTTTGAATTATGTGCCAGCGAAACGAGTTTTTAGATTAGTTAATCTGGTACGTTCGAGCAATTCCAATCTATTTGCGGTGCAAAGCTTATACCAGTACCTGAATGCCACTGTCATATTAACAAAACTAGCTAGCAAAATTCTGTTGCAAAAAGGTTGCACATCTCCGCTTCAAACTACCAAAAATGTGAAAGTGATTTGTCCAGTAGTCTACAGGGAAAGTGTTTTTATCATATATAATACCCACGTGTTAACGTGACAAAAAAAGACGAATAAGAGTAGCACCAGCTTCAATTTTGTATCCACATATAAACCAACATACCATTCATCAGGATCCGTATTCTTAGCTGAATTGACACAATTAAAGGAACCAACCTGAAAATGATCAGCATTACACATGCCACTAATGTCGTATACTCGGGTCTAGTTTCCATTGCCAAGAACACCATATGAAGATCTGTGACATTCTTTCGATTAAACAAATTCTCTGAAAATGAATTATTTCGTGAAAAAATTACATTTCTTACCAAATGCTGGACAAGAATTACAAGATTTAGTATGATGTAAACCATGGCTGCCCAACCCGCGGGCCGCGGGCCGCATGCGGCCCGTTAAACTGTTTTTTTTGCGGCCCGCCCTATAAAGTTTATAAGCAGACTTATTATGTTTTTACTATTTCATAAATCAATATACGTATGTTTATTGATGTTGGTGTGATTATTCCTGCCATCTATCTACATTCAAATGCCGGTTTTCATTATTACGTATGTGTCAAGTCTTGAACCCTGGTGGACATTGACGTCAGTTTTTTTTATTTCTCGCAGAACTGAGCGTTCTGTTCGACGAACTCGAGAAAGATTGTGCGATCATTGAGGACGAACGCTGAGCGCAATTATAGAAATAAATTTGGAGCATAAATTTGCGAATTAATTTCATTCTGATTGTTTTCTTGCGTGTCTGCTTTGATCGTCGTTATCGCCAGCGTAAAATAAAATGTCAACAATATCTTTAGTACTGGTCCTGGGACTCGTTGTCCATTTATGTTTGTATTATTTTATCAATTGTTTGGGTTAGATAAGATTTCGGAAATATCGTCACTTCGTATCCGTCAATAATTCTGATAAAATTAACCTAATAGCTTTGCTGCATATTGGTCACAAATCAGTATATATAGGCTATTCGCCCAGAAATCTTAGTAGGTTACTTCATTAAATATTCGTATTGGTCATTTAATTCTGTCCCCGCCCCGCGTTACCAGGTATTCGAATTGTAAACTGCTATTCTAATATTCGACTAAATATTCGAATAATTTGCCAGCCTTACTCAGTAACCAGAAAACAGTAATTAAATTGATTGATTTGATGTTAATAAACGTGTCTTTTATTTATCATGTAAATTACCTACACCGAAATCAGGACGTAGTCGGTATTAATGTTTGGTACAAACGTTTGCGGCCCGCAGCGAATTTCGTCACTTGAAAGTGGCCCGCGAGACGAAAAAGGTTGGGCAGGCATGATGTAAACCAACGGTCGGCAATCTTTTTTGGGTGACAGACCCGTAAAGCCTGGCCAAAATTTTACAACCTTTATACAAACGAACTAAACTTGTGTAATAAATCATACGCGTTAGAAAACTTATGTTGACAATACATTCAAAAACAAATGTGATGCTCTTTAATGTCAGATCTGCATTTGTGTGCTGACCACTAACTGTACTACCAGCCTACTTCGGTAGTTCGTTTTTGTAGTTGTCAATTTTGAAAACCCGACCTCCCATACAAGACAAGATAACAGTGCTATGTCTGAGAATTCATCTATTCTAAAAGTATTGACCACAAGAGTGCCAAGATATATATTGCAAAGATGCTTTTCAACTAATTATAATTTGAAATTTCAATCAACTGCTCTTTATAACACAATCTCGTCGTTGACAAGACAATTTCATAGTTCGAACGCTTCATTTAAGAGCCTGGTATGACAAGAACGCAAAATGGACAAACTTCGTTGCTCTCATTTGCGGTATGATTTCGTATCGCCAAAATAATCCATTGTTCTTGCTCTTTAAAGTTTTTTGGTTAGTGGCAGATGTCCCCGGTATAACCACGCTCTCAGTTTCCTTAGATATTGGTGATCGCAGTCATTCAAAAATTGGATTAATAATATCTGTTTAACCTTAACTAATTTTATTACAAAGTGTGCTACGAGTCTGTAGTCACATTCTTAGCGAGATCTTAATCGTATTGATGTGAGACTTGCTTACGCAGATGCAGAGGACGCATCAATATTGCGACATATTGACGTGGAAATTGTTTGTGCGATTAGACGTGCGGCTCAGATGAGTTGTGTTTGTCAGGTTTGTTTTATTTGCTGTTTTTTAGTCGTAGGGTTTATGGTTGGTAGATTAGCACCAGTAAGAATATCACGTTATTTTGGACAGGCAAATTTTGATCCCGTAGGCGTACAAGTGCAGTTTAAGGTATTTTGTGGGGTCTGAAGCTGCCGCAAAACCTTGGCGGCTGACTTTTTAGCTGCCACAAGCCGATGGTGTGAAGTGGGGTACCATCATTCAGGTGTATATAAATCAATGGGTACCACGGAAGAAAATTGAAAGCCGTGGTGGGTAAAACTGTGCTGCCACAAACCAAGGCATGTAGGTTGTAATATTAGGACTGCCTTTTATGATGACAATCTTTGGGTAAGTTAGAACATTTTCCTCATGGATATGGTTTTCATGGATTTGGGATTAGGTTTCAGGTATAAGTAGATATAATTCCGTATGATGAACTAATGTCTGGTAACGGTAATGGCGGCATAAAACCATGACAAGAGACGCCGCGGTTCGTTTGTGGCTAGAGACGCCATGAACTGGTAACTGCGGCTCTAGAAGTAACACAACGTCGAAAACGCAGATGGTGTTGTTACAAATAAGAAAAAGCATTCAAAATAATAAGATAACGAGTCTCCTGCAGGCTACGTTACTAGGTTCCGCAGGTTGGACATTGACACATTTTGAAGCGAAATATTTCGTTATAATAGAAATTTTATTTTTAGATAATTCAGTCCATTAACAATTCGTGTTACTACTCCCGTAGTATGTGTACCAGAAGCCAAGTGAATATCCCCCTGCCCATAGGTTTCAGTCCCTTTACACAATTTGATGTAAAATAGGCGCATAAAATTATTTATCTCTATATTGGTGCACATATTTCAGGAGCGCCCAATTTTCAGAGTTTTGGATCGAAGTTTGAATTCACCGTAGTTGGAATACTTTCAAAGATACTTATACCAAATTCCAACTATTCTTCCAAAACCTAAATATCGAGTTTAGAAAACGTTCTTGATACTTGAATCTCGAAACTAAACAAAAGTTAAAACGTAATATTTTCACTAAAACTGACGAAACTGTTTGGTCATCAACATGCTCTTGATTGAGAAGAGACTGATTGAGAGTTGTTTCTGTACATTTATTAGGATATTGTTTGTTTCATTTCTAAAGACCATTATATATATGTGGTAGTCATTTCGGATTTGTGTTTGTGTTGTTGCCGGAGTAAAATATGTTTGTACTATTCTAGATTCCCATTTTGTAATATTCTGGATATCTCTTTTGGCAAATGTGTGTTCAACGATCCACCCACAGCTGCAGAGTAAGCTGTCCTACGGTTTTTAGTCTGTATGTCACGCACAATGATCAATTCCCCATGTTTGCACAGAAATTATCACGTTTCTGCATTATTGTTTGTAGCTTTATTTCCTACATTTTTTCTTGTATCGCAATGTAAACATACATCAAATATATACAGAACATTTCGACAGACCTTTGTCACATTAACATATTTTTTATTATATAGTTGAGAGTCGAATTCGAATTTGTTGTCCGTAAGTAACAACACTGAGTATTTTACTAACCCGCAGTCGCTAATTATAGTGTTATGGAATATTGATTGGTAATCCAACATATTACTAGATATTTGTGTTTAATTCCGATATTTATTTTCGTCGTACATGAAACATTGTACTAGTACAAAGTACATTGTACCAGTACACTGGTACTGGTTTACATTTATTTATGAAGAAAAATATATACAGATCATATTCGAGCAGCGTAAATGTTTGTCATATATTCTTAGTTTGAATGGATTGTTGCACTTTATTTTGGAAGATTGTGAGTAATTTGAGTTATATATTTCAGCTCTATATTATTGATTGAAAAATATTTTAATCTTCGACATAAATATGGTATTTTTTATTGCCGTAAAATTGATACTTGTAATGATGATTGCGTATGGGGAGTCTTTAGAAAGTAAAACTTGCGGAACTCCAATGAAAAAGGACATTGAATGGAATAAGGTGAGTAGTGAAAAATTCTTATTGTATTGACATTACCCAGACTAATTCGATCCAATCAGATCATTATAGTTTCATATAGATAGAACCGTCGATATAGTTAGTCTTTTACGTCGGTCGGCAATGCATTTGTTAAAATATAAAAAAAAATTATTGCTTTCTGTGTTTTGTGTTATTCACATCTAATATTCACTGTAATGACAATTGTGATATGTGTTGTATGATCGTAAATTTCATTAATTTTTATGTATCTTTTAGCTTCCATCGGGTCCTTATTATGATGTTCTGGATATACCTAGATCAGAGAAACCAATCGGCTGCTGGAATATTCAGAATATTACCGAAGAAAAAGATCGCGTGGTTTTAGATATGGCAACATTTTCAAGCAGGTATAGTATACCACTACATTGACCCCTGGCCGTAAAGCGTAATTGCAATCACCACTGCAAGTACTTTTGTTATCAGGGACGTCAGCATTTTACCTGTTCGTCTGGAGTATTTTCGAACGACCAAAACTGGTGTTTACAAGATGAATAGATTTGGAGGTGAGTATATTTGGAGCTGCTATCGGTATATCAAATGTTTACATCTATTACTTGAAAATCACGTTGATGTTTTAACGATTTGTTCTATATTTCGTGATTCAGAGATGGAATATAGAACGGCGTTCTACCACTTCAATGATGATAATGGCGTCGGAATACGGGAGACTGCAGATGAGGGTGTTCAAATTTCAAATTTTTTACTGTTTGTTTCTTTCGGTGTTACTTATTCTAACAGGAAGCCTATGCGAAATGTTTATTACTTTTAGGTGGACATTTTTTTGCATTGTTCACTTTCACTGACTTACATTTGTACATGGGTTGTATTATTAACATATTTAATCATTTATGCTATTATTTTCCAATATCATGAGTCACCAATCAAGCTGAATGTTCGCTAGTCGCTACTATTTCAATGTATATTTCTTTGGACAACAACTTCCTTTTTATCTCCGTAACAATCAACAATAAAAATAATTTGAAGTCGAGCAGACACTTTTTCCACTTTTTCCACATGGTTGTACGCATTGTTTTCTTTATGCCATTTTATCAAATTACTGAGCCATCATGTTTATTTCGGAAGAGTTGAAGTTTAGTTGCGGAACCTTGTGAATTTTTTTTTCTTCAAATAAACAGGTAAAATTTGACAGCGGAGGCTGACAGCTGAATGCGTTTTCGTATTAATTCTTGCCGCAATTCGAGATATATTTAGATTTGTCCAATTTCAATATTTTATACTTTTATTGACCGTTTTCGTCAACGAAGATACGATAAATACATATACACCTAAAATACTAATCCCCTGCCTGTTAATTTTTTTCGTATCATTCAATGTTAATCCCACCAATGACATTAAACAACATGATAGGCAACTCTGACGTCACTCCATAAGACTACAGGCAAATCATTGTATTTCATGATACGCTCCAATGCACATATTTCTCGTCGCCTTTCGCGTCCGTTTTCCGCTCGCTTTTGCTACTCGGCGTCTTTTTTACGTGTAGTACCTGCCTTTTTGCGCCTGTAACGAAACAAAATAATCTCTATATCTAAGAAGTTTTGCTTACTTGGAAAGCCGGAATAACAGGCAAGCTGTAAAGAGCAATTCTGGACATCATAGACTTTTTTTTTATCAGGGAAGATTACAAACGCGATAGCGGAAAGATTTGTGTGGAACATTTTGCAGATAATGACAAAGTTCAAAGTTAGTAATTTTAATGTTTGCGCTTAATCATTGAAATTTCATTTAAAGAGGGTGTCATACAAAACTGTGCTGCGATACAATTCCATAACACAAAGTTTGCACCTATCGAACTTGCTTTTGTAGGTGAATTTATTAGACATATTACATATTCAGTTAATCGTAGGTAACATTGCTGGTACATAATGCATCGTAGATAGGTTTGTTTAAATTTAGGAATTTAGCTCATAGCCCACTAATTAATATTATCTTCTATGCAGGAGGTTGCAGGGCTGAATTCAACTTGCAGCCTTACCGATCACCTGACGATGCTCATTTAGTTTCAAGTCTTCTTGAAATGCTTGTGTGGATGGAAACTACCTATATTTTTTGCCTTCCTCCGATTTTAGACAAATTTATTCTGAGGGATTTCGCATATAATTCTCACTGATTGTTGGCTGTTTATAATTCCTATTGATTGTGAATTCTGATTATAACAATGAGTTGAAAATTTTTTTACCTAATTTACTGGCACCTTTTTCTTGTCAATACTCCAAGCTGAGGTAATAAACATGACAATACATTTATGTCATCTGGAAGCAAAATATGCACACTAATTAATAGTTTGGCACATTGAGATAATACATCATAACAGAAAATACAAGTTAAAGATATGTATGACCATCACATGGTAATTAAAATTAATAAAAATTAATAGGGGCTGTGGAGTATGGAAAGTTCAAGACAAAGAAAAGAACAAATGTTCATAGCTCATGAACTCTCAATTTTGCCTCCATTACTTTGTGAAGGCCAATATATTTCGAGTGGCTGAATTGGTTTACCTTTATGATAGCAACGATTTTGTATTTAATATAGCGAGATTATTTCAATTCAATTGAAGTGATATAATTTCCCAAAGCAATGCTTGAATCGTCTAGAATAGATCAGTGGTGTCAAACTCATGGGTTTTCGAGAGCCGCATTGCATTTTGAAAATTGTAAAAAGAGCCGCAAACAGTTTTTGATAATGTATACTCAAAAGATATTAAGATAGTTTTAGTTTGTGACATATATTGTGATGCAACTAAACAGTTGGATTAAGTTTTATTATTTTCTTCAATTTCAAATGCAATTACATATTAATATTTGCATTCCACTATTATTGCAACATTTGCAAGTTACAGTATTTATTATAAAAAATCGTAAAATTCTATGTACAACCATCATAATCATTTTTGAACAAGCTTTGAATAAGGAAAGAATAATACATACACTAAAAATACCTTAATCTAAATATATGAACCTAAAATTAACAAAAATACTACAGTATAAACTCAATGTTTTAATAATTACATTTGTCCTGGCGTTTGGCATCTTTTTTGTGTCACCAGCATATTAAGGCCAGTCTGAAATGATTTTATAGTACCAACTCTAACTAACGAGGCCACATGATCATGGGTTTATCTGGATCTTTACGAATGTTTAATTAATTCCAGTAATGCAAAAAAGTTACTTTTATCATTCCATGTATAGATCAGTAAAAAAACAAATGACAGATTTTTTCGACAAGACGTTTCGCACTACATTGCGTGGCATAGGATTGCTTGAATTATTATTGATATTGATTTTTAGTAACTAAGTCGTTGTATAATTATATTAATATACAAACACATGGAAATTTTCTGTTCGAAGTTGGTCAGCTTGTCATATTGACTGCTGAGCTTATTGTGTTTTTTGATTGTATTGATGGAAATATGACAAATTAAACAATGTGCTTCAGAATTTTGTGAAGAGCAGAAATGTTACAACTCCCATTTTCTTCGAAAATGCCACCTTCTTCATGTACTTTGCGTTTAATTTAATTACTCAAGTGTTTTATTCAAGTATTCTTTTGCTAGCTTGATGTGTATTCTTAATTGGGTCAAAATGTGGACAAAAAAAATTAATATTCCAAAACTACTTTCAGTAAATTGTTTTCTGTGTGAATAATCAATTTCACTTTAGGAGGTTTGAAAAATCTATTACATTTAGATAAAAAAAAAAACTTCCAAAATACTATTACAATTATTGTTAAGCGTTCGAGGGCCGCACTGGAAGTTCTCTGGGGCCGCGAGTTTGAGATCCCTGGTCTAGATTGAAGTTGTTCAAAAAATATATGATAGTATTTTATCATGAATGATGATTATACCCCTTCCGACCGCTTATGCAATCTTACGCTTTGGAATTTTTAGTTATTTTCCTCAAGCCCTGCAGGATGTGGGGGCCATACACAACTCTACCGGAGAGTCAAATGTCTTTGCATGCCTCCATAGGTTGTTTTTCTATTGCAAATTTCTATTTTCTATTTTCAATTGCATTATATTTCTTGGAATCACACTGTCACTGATATGTCGCCAGACTTCTGATATCTCCCCGTCTGCTATAGTTGTCCTGTGAATAAATAATAGGAAATTGAGATTAGACGAATAGTTGAAAGTTTTGCTTTATGTCGGCTTAATTTCTTGATTGATATACTTACTATTTCTGCTATTGCCTCTTGTGCTGCAAGAGTCTCACAATGCTTAGACAGGTTTGTCCACAACTTTCACAGCTGAAGAAAGAGAGGAGATTTATTAATTTTCGTTATGAATAAATAAAGCAGTCTATATGATTCAGAATGGAAAAGCTAATAAATCCAATATCTCATGTTTTATTTAAAAAATATTTTACTGAATTTGGTATATAAACCAACTAATAAAAGGGTTTAGTCAGAAAATTACAAGCATTCGTGGCTCCAAATACTTGAGAAATCAGACTATACAATATAGACCGGTATGAGTGAAATGTTAGGTGAACTTGTTAACACTTTGATTCAATACGCAAATAAAAGTGAATGCGTAATAGTATGTTACAATGAGCAGCAATCAACAATGAGTATATATCCTCACTGATTAAAAAAAATCTAACTGGAGGTGCATGAACTATTTGAAACCATAAGGGGTAAGTAAATATGTAATTTCGGCAAATGGGCAACTACGTACCGTACTGAATTAATAACTTCGTAGTATTTGACAAAGGCTGGCTTTCCCACATGTACTTAACAGTGCGATGCCCGGGTGTGATATACAACAATAGTATTCACCTTACCTTTTACCGATTTCTTTTTACCCCAACTTTCAAAAATATCATTAAAATCGACAACAACTGTCAAAGCAGGCACGAACACCATTCGTGCTACGCCTTGAAAGCAGCACACATCCGCTCGTTTTCGTCTCGTCAAGTATGTGCATTGGAGCGTGCTATCGAATACGATCTTCGGACAAAAATGCCGGAGTTGCGCATCATGTTGTTTAATGTCATTGATCCCACTAACAGTAACGACAGTACTCATGTGGATGTTGTGGTTCTATATGGCCCCGTAGCACATTAAAATGTAGTGTAACTGTGTAGTGTAAGTAAAGCAAGCACCGGAGTAACGTTATCAATAAAAACGTTCTTCCTGTTTACAGAGTCTGCAGACCTTGCTCAACACGAATTCATATTTCTGACTGACTACCAGACTTATTTCATGCTCGTTGGATGCCAAGAAGAAGGTAACGAAAAAGCTTCATTAGAGGCTTTTGGTACAGAAGATCTCTATCCTATCAATATAATATGTAGAATTCATAAAATATGCTGTCTCGCAAAAATGAACTTTTTTTCTCGAAATAATATTATTTCTAACACGTCTTGAGATACTAATAAATCATGCTTTCTCATTTAAGCTGCGGTCAGAATTTGGTTGAAACTAAACACTTTGTTGATTTCTTCCCAGGTTTGTAGGCTACTAATGATCCTCTGGCTGAACAGATACATATGTACAATGTACATACATTTCAGTGACTTTTGAAAAACCTTTGGCAACTTGTACTTCAATTACTATTTATTTGTATATTTTGTTTTCGTTATCAGGTTGGATAGCGTACGTAAAAGCGACCACTCCACATATCACCGTCAGCCAATTGAATCATATATCGAATGCACTAGTGGAGAATGGATTGAAAGCACCGGTGATGGTTTTGAAAAATGAATGTCTGAATGCCGGCGATTCTGGGAATGTTGTTGTTATTGGTTAAAATATTTAGTTTTCATATATATATATATCAAAATACTGTTGTATTTAGACAGAATGCTGAAGCAAAAATAAGTGTAACATGTTTTTGTCGACCTAAAAACTTCATTTAGTTTCAGTCACAGAGAAAAGGCGAGGAAGAGTTTAGAGTTATAATATCAACAACAAGTTCTCAGAACTTCAAGCGCTAAACAAATGTTTGATTATTTGTAATCAACAAAGTTTTATCCAAATTTCATGACATTTTCAATTTTCTTGCAATTTATCGCGTCAGAAAAATCGAAAATTGAAATTTTGAGAAGGCTGCCTTCGCCTTCAGCAGAAAAAAAAATACTCTTCCGAACAAGTCCTCTTTCATTTAGTTAGTTAGCCTCAACTATCAGGGGAGGTCCTGAGCGCCTAAAGCTGGGTATAATTGGGGGTGAGTACATGGAAAATCAATCAGAAATAACATTGTTTATTTCACACCGATACCTCTCGGCAGTTTCAATTTTCACGAATAGATAGCCTCATGTGCGATATATACTTCTAAGTGAGCCGAATAGGCGTGCTTCCAACTTTTGCAACCGAGAGGAATATATTTGAGGCAAAACCAGTTGCTACACTCACACAAATGTATTGACATTTGACACAAGGAAAACTGTTGCCGGCTACATCTGTAATATTAGAGTAACTTCGCAATGCGGAAGGTAGCTAGCTGTTGATCACTGAAGCTATTTAATGTCAGATCTGCATTTGTTTGCTGCCCATTTCGGTAGTTCGTTTTTTATTTGTCAATTTTGAAAACCAGATCTCCCATATAGGGAAACGAAACAGTTCATGTAAACCTTATGTTGCTATGTCTGGGTATTCATCTAAGAGAATTGACCAAAAGAGTGCCAAGATATATATCGCAAAGATGCTTTTCAACTCATTATCTTATGAAATTTCAATCAACTGTTTTTTAAAAGAAAATCTCGTCGTTAACAAGACAATCTCATAGTTCGAAGAAGTTTCGAAACCTTCATTTGAGAGCTTAGTATGACAAAGAACGCAAAATGGACAAATTTAGTTGCTCTCATTTGCGGTATAAATTAATATAGCAAAAACAATTCATTGTACTTGCTCTTCAAAGTGTTTTATTTATCGGATGATGTTTCCGGTATAACCACACTCTCAGTTCCGTTAGAAATTGATGCGCAGTCATTCAAGAATTGGATTATTGATGTTTGTTTAGCCATAACTAATTTTATTACAATATGTGCTGCCTGCGAGTCAGTAGCTACATTCTTATCGAGATCTTATTCGTACTGATGTGAGACTTTCTCACGCAGATGCAGGGGACGCATCATTATTGCTACATATTGACGTGGAAATTGTTTATGAAGTCAGACACGCTGCTCAGATGCGTTGTGTTTGTCTGTCTGGTTTGCTTTAATTGCTGTTCTCTTAGTCGTAAGGTTTGTGGTTGGTATATTTTAGAGGTGTGACTAGGGCCTTATCCGTTTTTGCGTCACCTTTCCGTGGACCGGTGATGGGCTGTGGCCCTGTGGTTGCCGACCACTGATGTAAACCACAATATTGGTAAACAGGATTGAATTTTTACACACTATGAATAACTTATTTTGCTGACTTGTTTGGTCTAGATCCGTGGTTCTCCACCTTTTTCAGTTCGCGGACCGATAAAATTTCTAAATAATTTTCGCGGACCGGCGGACCTTCAAAATTAACCAAAAGTGTCATGAACACAAAACATAATCAAAGGAATGAAATTAGGACAAAAGCATGCGGTGCAGAAAAGGACAATCCAATTTAATAGGAAATTTGCTGCTGTCTTCTTGACATTAAACGTGTTAAACGCTGTTCTAATGAAGTTTCTGCAGGGCGAAGTAGAGCCGTTTGAGCTGAATAATATTTTGCTGTTTGTTTGGCCTCATTTAACTATCAAACCTCGCTAAATTATAGGCCTACTGTCAAATTACGGATCGTGCGAACTGAGAATTTTTCAATCTGGTACCGTACTATGTAGGGTTGAAACCCGGGAAATCCCGAGTTTGGACTGTTTTTTTTCAATCCCGATTCCGCGATTATTTCCAAAGAATCCCGGGTTTTTAAGGCTTCGTTATCCACATATATAGATATTCTCACAAATTGTAGGATATACCATTTTATTTAATACTTATTTTGAAAAAAAAACCATCCACGCTTACAGTTTGAGTCAGTCAGACTAAGTGGAAATATTGTGCAAAATGTTACCGAGGAATTATTATTTGACTAGTAGAATTACCATTATTGCCGACTTATTTAATCATAATTTTAACTCAAAATAGCATTCAGGATTTACGCAATGAGTTTGCAGGGTTTTTATTTACTATTTAATACGAAAATAAAATAAAAACAGCCACAATAAAAAAGTAAAATCAAGAAGGTCAACTATCGTCTTCAAAAATATCCGCATTCCGGCGTCAGAAATAAAATATTTTTAGCTTAAAATTAAGGCAGTTAATTTACAAACGGTGACAAAAAGATCAAAGCCGACCCAAAAGATAAACATCGGAATAAAATCCCGAATTCAACCCGAGCTGTAATCACGCCAGCAATCTGGCGAAACGCGTGGTAGTCCAAACAGTGATGCAATGAAACTTAATAAAACCTTCATAAATTTAGTAAATTGCACTACTTATTGACGATTACTTCATATCTCGAACACAAAAACGGTTATCTTTTCTTTTTTCGGATAGTTTCTGAGGATTTTAGAAATAGGAGAAACATATTGAATTGTAACAAAAATGAATTAAGTTGTGAAAAATTGACATTACATGTGATAATAATAAGGGCGTAACGTAGAAAGGCGAGCAAAACCTAAGCGCGTGATCGGCGGCGCGTTTGAATGCCACGTATTACCCGTGCGGCCGCGCAACTTTTTCAATAATGTGAGGTGCTCCGAAGACGCTTTCGTTTACATTAATGCAAGAAAACAGTTGTAATATCGGCAGCTATTAACCATTTTTTGTGTTCGACTATCGCACTCTTTATAAGTAGAAAATGTTTGCGTTTTGTGATAGATGTGCCGCCATAAAAAAAAAAGGTTGCTAACCACTGCCCTAGATGCTCTAATATATCTGTGTCGATATTGCATGAAATAAATACGTGATTTTAATGTCATGCAAGTTGTTTCAATGTTTTACTTAATCCCGAAAAATCCCTGGAATATACGGTTCAATACCGGGATTTCAAAAACTTGCTCCGAAATCCCAACCCTAGTACAGGGAGTCCTCGACTTACGACGCAGTTCCGTTCCTGAGACTCGGTGTAACCCGAATTTCAGTGTAAGTCGGAATATTATACTGTATAGTGGGTACAGTGCATGAATTACTCTATACACATCGTACTGTATTGTAAACTATGGTACTGTACACTAATAAAATGTACAAATGATGCAAATAATAACTTTATTAGAAAAACAGAAAACAATTCCACATCACGTGAATAAAAGCAAACACTGTACAGTATCTTAACATCTTTTTTTGCTTTGAGTCCATAACAAAGGGCAAAAGTAAAAAAAACGATCAAACAAAAAAAACGGCTTAAACAACCAAAATGACGTACAGTATCACTGAAACTGTGTACTGTACTGTACTGTTCCATGTGACTGAAGCTCAGTGATTATTCGTTCATAATCGTAATAGTTCGCAATTGGTCACGTCATTTACGATGTAATTAACGAACACCAATGAGCCCAAAGCACTGATTTTCTTGATCACAATGATCCAGTTTATAGGCTTAGATATTACAGTACAGTTTTATCTTTTATATCTGTATATGTTCGTAAAGTGCGTTCGTAACCTCAAAACAGCGTTATGGAGTGCGCGTTTGTAACCTCGAAACATCGTAAGTCGCGACCGTCGTAACCCGAGGACTCCCTGTACTATGTGCTATCAAATTCCTCCGTTATGATGTTAGCCGCCGTTATAAGGTCATAGACTTAACAAATATCCAGCCGTTCAGGGCTTAAATGGGCATAGGACCGACCTCTCACCAAGTTCGGTTGTCAGGCGAATACCGGTACTACGAATCAATCAAGAGTTAAAAAATCATAAAATAAAATGACGTCAATACTTTGTATTTTGCAATTTGCTAATAATATGTTTATATTGGAATATATTTGGCGGACCGGCAGCAAGGTTGCCGCGGACCGGCGGTTGAGAACCACTGGTCTAGATATCAAAATACCCAGCGTGTATCTTTTATGATGAGATACAGAATCAACCTTTTTCGCTGCAGTTACCGATAGAGATTTCATTCTCTCATTCGTAAGTTCATGTATCACACATATTTCAATAGATGTTTCAATGTAAGACTTGTAGTATCTTTCAGAAATAGTCTTCGCAGGTTAACCCCGAAACCCCGATCAAAATTCTGTACAAATAATTGAATAGATTTAGCTGACACCTGTGCTCTCATATTAATTTGATGTCTCGTTAGTTCTATGTTTGACTTGGGTAGGCATATTTTAGCAAATTTACTTTTCAGACATTCTAGCTAGATCATTACGATACTCAGCAGAAATGTCACCTCTTGCTGACTCCTATGTGAAAGACTCTTTTTGGGGTCTGCCCTTGTTTCCAACCAAATTGAGCAGTATGCATGTTTTAGCTTTGTCATTCAGTGCTCCGGTGAAAATATCATATTCACGAACGATTGTTCTCAAGTTTTAGCAACATTTTCATCAAAAATCAGAGGATCGACTTCATGTTTGTTTATGGGTAAACACACAACTGTTCCGGAAGCTTGAGTGTGTCATGGATATAACACAGGCATCATAGATAATAGCACTAGGCAGCATGCAGTACCTCAAGAGAGAGAAAGAGAGAGCTCAACAGTGGCATCAAGAGACATAAATAAAGCATTAATAATGACTTCATAATTAGCATCTTACATATGTCACGCACAATAATCAATTTCCCACGTTACAACAGAACTTATTTAAACTTTAGGTTTATTTGTTTACTTCTAGAGGTGATGTGTACTGAAACTTTACGCCCAAAAATCAATTATCCACGTTTCTACGGCGTTGTTTGTAGCTTTCTTTTTTCCATTTTTCTTGTATTCGACTATAAACATAATCAAATGTATATATAGGGCTATAGAAGATTTCGTCAGACTTTGGTCACATTAACATATTTTTATTGTATAGTTAAGAGTCGAATTCGAATTACTTGTTGGTAATATGAAAAAGGGGACATTTTAGTCAAAATTGTTACTGGTGCTTGTTATACAGCATGTGAGGTAAAATTCAACGACAGGGAAGAGTTAATTGCTAAGTAGGTAAAATTCTTATGTTGAACTGATTATATTCACTAATGATTTTGCTGTTTCACCCTATCCTGACTCAATATTCGAAATTGTATTTTTAATTGAATTATTTTAATCAATATTAAATTTTGATTTACTATATTCAATCAGTATTTTTTCGTTACGTCATTGGTATCATTCATAGTCGCAAATTATAGTGTTATTGTATATTGATTGTTAAATTGATTAAATTGAATTGATCCCAACTGAGTTATTAAATGTTTGTGTTATTCAGATTCATATATTTATTTTCGCCGTGCAGGAGACAGGCACGGATGGTTTACATTTATTTGTGGAAAATATATATGTAAGGAGTATTTATATAATATTTGTCATATATTCTTAGTGTGATTGGATTGTTGCACTAGGACGATTATGATTTTCAAAAATGATGGCACTTAGAAGGAAACAAATTAAATCCTAATAAACCTCAACGCAAACCTATAGATAGTTGAATTTATTAATCTATGATTTTCATTTCTTAAACATAATCTATATGCTTCCATGTACAGTTTGGAGAGATTCAGACTAAACCTGCCCGCCGAGTGTTGAATAAAAACAATGCAGTACAACATTGGATGGATGTGATGGTGTATGTAACCGCATTACAGCTTGATAATAGAATCCTCAGCCCACTCCCATACCCCAGTAACGGGCTACTGCAGCGTTTAAGTTGAAATGTTATAGAACCAAAACTTTCATTTTGGAGTATTGTAGATAATTTGAGTAATATTTTTCAGTTCGACATTGTAAATTTAAAAATATTTCAACCTTCGACTACAATATGGCAATTTGTATTGGAGTAAAATTAATACTTGTAACGTTGATTATATATGGAGATTTTTCGGAAGGTAAAACTTGCGGAACTCCTCTGAAAAAGGACATTGAATGGAATAAGGTGAGTGATTAGTAGAAACTATGTTCTATGATGATAAATTTCATTGACTTTATGTAACAATCTTTTAGCTTCCAATGGGGCCTTATTATGATGTTCTGGATATCCCCAGATCACAAAAGCCAGTGGGGTGCTGGAATATTCAGAATATTACCGAAGAAAAAGATCGCGTGGTTATAGATTTGGCAACATTTTCAAGCAGGTATAGTATACCACTGCATTAACTGCCTAGGCATAATCACATAGTTATCACAATCACAGCATTTTGTTATCAGGCAACTCAGCATATTACCTATTCGTGTGGAGTTTTTCCGTACAAGAAAAAATGGTGTATACAAGATCAATAGATTTAGTGGTGAGTATATTTGGCGCTGCTATGGGTATTCCAACTTCTTACATATTATAAAAAATCACGTTGATGTTTCAACGATATGTTCTATATTTTGTGATTCAGAGTTGGAGTACAGAACGGCGTTTTATCATTTCAATGTTGATAGTAGCGTCGGAATACGGAAGCTTGCTCGTGCGGGTATGAACATTCTTTTTTTCTCTGAAATTTTTACCACTTGTGCTTTTTGGTGTTTCTTCTACTGGGAGGCTGTGTTAAAAACCTATTACTTTTTTGGCGAAACATTTTCGGGCAGTGTTGACTTTCACTGGTTTACATTTGTACACGTGGTATATTATTTTTATTTAATAATCATTGATGCAATTGGTATGGAGGCTATATGGGCTAAAATTAGATGCCCGTATGGCAGTTGCTCGAACATTTCTATAATTGTATTTGATCACAATGATGTAATCGAATACCAGTGGCAAGTGATGTGAGCCGTCGGTCAGTCGTAAAATTTGGGAGTCTGTCAGTCACGTAATTTTTTGAAAAGGCTCAGTAATTGAAAAGGGTTGGGAACCACTGCCCTGTGCGCATGAAAAATACTAGCTTTTAGTGGGAGAACCCCGTAAATCTTACAAATTGACAGGCATTTAATTTAAAATGTTCTGATGTCGAATGAAGATGCTGCCGGCCTTTGTGCAAACATACGTCGGCAAGACTTCATCCTACTCTACCATAGTGAATGATTATGTAAAGTAAAAACCGATCTCATAAAATACTTTATTTTGGCTGAAATCGATAGCCAATGTGTACGAGTACAATAAAATCTTTCCTCGGGTTTACAGAGGCTGCGGACCTTGCTCAACACGAATTCATATTTTTGACTGACTACCAGACTTATTTCATGTTCGTTGGTTTTCAAAAAGAAGGTAAGTTTGGTAGATTAAGGGCCATCGCAGACTTTTGATTTAGAATATGCTTTGTTAATTGTCTCCTATATAATATGTGTGTGGATTTTGATTTTCAACAGCTGCGGCATCTTAAAAATCAACTTGAAATCAATTGTCTCGAAATAATTTGTTTTTAACACGGTTATTCATTACTAAATGATTTTTTATTAAACTTATATAGGCGTGTGGTTTACGTGTGGTCAGAACTTAGTTGAATCTTTTATTTTAATTGACTCTATCTGTCAACTTGTTCAATTAGTATTTAGTTCTATATTTTATTTTCATTGTCAGGTTGGATAGCGTACGTAAAAGCGACCACACCACAGATCACAGTCAGTCAATTAAACGACATATCGAATACACTAGTTGATAATGGATTGAAAGCGTCGGTGATGGTTTTAAAAAATGAGTGTCTGAATGATGGCAATCCGGGAAGTGGTGTTGTTATTGTGTAAAAATATTTACGTGGCATATATCAAAATATAGTTGTAAATAGTCGGAATGCTTCAACAAAAATTAATGTACCATTTATTTTTCGTCAATCTTATAATAAGATTTACAAATCTTCATTTGCTTTCAGTCACAGAGAAAAAGCAAGCAAAAATTTTAGAATGGGTCATATTATCATAAAGTATAAACAAAGTGCAGTTACGAAATATCTACCAAAATTATTGCAAAACCCTATTTGTGAACTTTAGAAAATTTTTCAGTAGGCCTACGTAAAGTGTTATCAAGAAAAAGCCTTTTTTTGTTATAATTGTACGTGCATTCGTTGCATAACTATCTGGTAAATCTTCTAGGAATGACATTATTTGGTCGTACCGATATCATACTTACAACCTCATGTGTATATTCCTTAATATATAGCTCAATAGGCATGCTGCAAAATTTTTTTAGACTAGCACAAAAGTTTGTAGGGAATATTAGTAATTTGCACAAAATGATGATTCAGATAGATCTAAACTAGTCAAAAAACCTTTTCCTTATTCGAAAAAAACTCACTTACCTAACACGTTTGTACCACATAAGCTAAAACTCTAATTGTCCCTTTAGCAAAAGTATAACTCATTTAACACGTCACTGTGAATCTGTTTACGATAGCGTCGAACTTCTATATATATATAAGTCGTACGCTATTGTAGCAGTGGGCAGTGACGGGTGAAGAGTGGAGTAAAGAAGTAATCAGCATCAACAAGGTATTCATATAATATAAAATAAAGATATCCTAGTTTTCTAATTACTCGATTTTCTTCATGTGTATTATCTATTGTATTTAAAATAGTAAAATTAGGTAACGATTCCGTTTCCGCTGATATGTACAATGTCAATTCTGAGACACGGTTGGCTTTGCCATTGAAACAAAACTATATTCTATTCTTTTATGACTTCCCCAATACAGTACTTTGGTTTTTACAGAAACACATCTTCTTAGTAAGTCAAACAAATAACACTTTGCAAATTAAGCCCTATTTTTATCGTAGAGCCGTAGAGACACAAAGCATATATATGCTTCTTTTTTAATTTGAGAGTAACCAATGAATTTCATTTTTTCCTGTTGCATGTTGGTCTGAAAAAAAAAAATGCATTCAAGTGGTAATTATACTGTACTATAAGAGCATCGTCCCATGGCAGGAGGTTTTTGTTGATCGCTGACTAGGCCCTTTTTTGTGTTGATAACAACAAAAATATTTACAAAATCTATAGGTGGACGTTTAACGACCGAAAACTTTTGGGAAGGACATAACTCTTGCTCAATTTGAATATGCAAACATTACTTACTGCTCGTGCGTGATAATTGAATTATAACAATGTCCGAATCTTGGTGTGTTATTGGTCCCTTCTAATATAAAGTAATCAAGACTTGGGGAAGGTGTCCTGTGTGACACGACAAAAAACTAATAAAATTATTTAAATACTTACTGTAATTCAGTTGTGTCAGTTTTGTCGAGCTGGCATTGAAAAATAAAATGAAGTAGCCTTTTATATCTTCTCTTAAATGCGGGATTCATAGCGCCATATAAAATAAAATTTAGACAAGAGTTTGTTAACGCCAGCCACACTAAAAACTAAAAAAATGTGTATGGTATTACATAGCACAGGTGTTTGTAAGTAATAGCAACATATCCATTCATTTACTTCAATGTTTTTATATGATTAGTTTGCTACGAGTACGTTGTTAGAAAACATATACTGCAACCACTACACATATGCTAGTATTTGAAGTAAACGTTAAGAAATGATCGATTTCTATTGAAATTCAATATTTGAACAATTAAGCCTATATGCAATCATATAAGATCTAATAAGTAATGACATCGTGGTGATAACTCATTTCATGATATTAATATAGGTAATTATGTAGGCTACGTACGGTAACCGATTATTAAGTAATGTACTGTTGATATGCATAAAGAAGTGATTCAATTTTTGTAATAATATCATTTGAATATAGTTTATATCTTTCTTCAATTTTAGAAAGGGTTTAAATTAAGTTAAAGTCAGCCGTTATTCAGATTTCTCGAAAAATAAATTTTTTCTTCCTTCTATTGTTTTCATACCGTTAATGTTTAGTAAAACAAACACACCTTTTTCAAGTGTGGCCTTATATCTCCTGGGTTTATCATAACATGTAGGGCATATGGAGTCCAACACACAAAGAATATTACAACTGCAGTAAGCAAAGTGTATGTGAGATTTCTTTCTCTTCTAAGCGAAGGTTTTCTATCAGAATAATTGGCCAAAGATGTTGAACCCTTTTTCCTAAGGTTTCTAACCCAGCTTCTGTTTTTGTTCACTTTTCTATAAAATCAAAATGATGAGATGTATTTTCGCAATGCTCTGTATTAGATATTTTTATTCAGTATTTTATTTCTTATCTATATTATTAATTACTGTTAAAATCTTTGATATATTTTCACTACAATAAATTACAGATTCGTTACATTACACACATATAAATTTCCGAAAATTGTGATGTCGCTGATTTGAAAATAACTAACATACACCGGTATCGGTACATTACTATACTCACCTGAGAATTTCAAAATAACAAAATAGTATAGTCATTAAAGGTAAGACTACGGCTGCCAGAATGAGGGCAATCGAATATGATAATGAAGCCATGTCATGCCAAGCACAAATCAACGATTTTGCATCATATCTAGAAGTAAATGTTAGTGTGTAGGTATATATATATATGTCAGAAAAGGGCATGATCTTTTATATTTTAGACAATAGTAAGTCTAAGTTCCCTATGGTAAGGGTGACCAGAAAGCAAAAGCAACTTCAAAATGTATAAATATGCAACCTGATGCATTTATTTCTAGCTTTCTCAAATGTGTATTCTCAAAATAGCGCAGAGGACACTAAGAGAAATTAAATATTGGAGAAAAATTCCTGATTAAAATTCGTTTGTGTAAATGTGACTCAATGCGAGAATTTGGTCAAACCGTAAATAATTGAAATCTTTGATACATTTTTTCGGGTTCATTATAAAATGTACTTACGTGATTTCTCCCCATCCAGCCAATGTTGGCATTGTGATTAGGCATGACCAAATCCATGACATTATTGCCATAAAGATTCCGACATTTTTAGTGAAGTATTTTCGATAAGAAACTAGTTTTACTATCGCCCAGTATCTGAACAAATAATACATATGTTTAGATTGTTTACTAGTATTGATTTCATGGTGCGAAGAAACGACCCTAAATAAAAGTTTAAATGTTTATTTCTGCATCTAAGATTAACTATTTGAATAAAACTACTTTAGTATTTAAACGACTCTAATTATGTACTTTAAATAAGTCTATCAATCATACCATTTGGGAAATATGAAGCCTCGATTGGACTTAATTGAACTATGGTTAAAGGCCGAATGCCTGATTTTTTGGAAACTTGAAATATACACCAAAACCTTCTAGTGGGAAGGAAGAGACAAAAGAATGTTTGGTATGTCTATGAGGTGAGAACAACCTTATCGTCTGTTTTTGCTTTGTTAGACGATTACTCAAATAACTTTTTTTCTTACAAAAAAAATTAAAAACCATACCTATTGAATGCAATCAGAGCCATATTAGCCAAAGAAGAAACACAAGTAATGGTGACTATGAATCCAATTATCTGACAAAATATTCCATCAACGATTCTTTCGCTTCTTATTATTGATGCTGCTATGCAAGGTAAGGTCACGGAACACACCTACCAGTAGAAGTCAATGTGAATGAAGCGTAAGATTTGCTCTGAAAGCAAATACTGTAAGATTCGTTGGCGCGATATAAATATATATATCGATATTTTCGCATATTAATCTAAATTCTAGTCTAGGAATAAAATTCACAAAGGCCAGTTCGTGTTTTTCAACAAACTGACTCTTCTACAAATACCGTTATTCATATGAATTTATTCTTGCCCTGAATGTAGTTAATTTTTTGTACTCTTTATTAGTGGTATATCAACCAATAACAAAGAAAATTGCAAAAACATTTTATATTCTTTGTAAGACTCAAGTTAGGATTATCTCACCAATACATCAGCCACTGCCAAATTAATGATAAAGATATTTCCAGTTGAATGCACTTTCTTCTCTAGCACGATTGAAAATATAACGATCAAATTACCGATTGTTCCGAGAAGTATTATTGACATGATGTAAATAAACTCGAAGTACTGTGAAACGAAAAAAAAATTCTGAATATTACAAAAATTAATGAAAATAGAAATATTTTGCGCTTTGCATTGGTTTTAATATTTAAAACACTTGCCTGCAAAGTTCCAAAATTTGGCCAGTAATTCGTGTCGTGATGTTGTGGGGAAACTGTAGAATTTTCATCTTCCATCTCGAATATTATTTAAGCTCTTGATGCGTCAATTTTCAGCTATGATGAAAACTAGTTCATCCGCGATCCTTTCTCTGCCAGCATGTACTTTTTACAAATACAAATAAAATACCACCACATGTTCAGGCGGATCAGCTAAAGCTGACTGCCCGAATGTTCCATATATTATATCAACTCGCAAATTTCGACAAATAATAATTGATGGTAAACCACTCTAACGGTTCGAGGAAATGATGAATTGTTTGATCTTAGTAAATACCACACGTTAATGGTCAGGCTGTGAAACAACTGTAAAATAGACAAAAAAATGTGTAGAATAGAACGTAAAATTAACACTCTTCTGTTGCCATTTTGATTGAATTGTATTATAGCAAACAAATATACTAAAGGTGTATTGTGCTCGTTTACAACTGGTTGTGCGTTCTAGTGTAATTAGATGAGAGTATGTGATATGTTCATATATCTATTTCTTTTTATTAATGCTAAACCCAATTGAACTAGCAGGATGAACTTCTTTACAGTGCACGTAAGAAAAGATGAAATGTAGGCAATACTCATACGGTCAATAAGCATACAAGTTATATAATAATCATATACCAGTTAACAGAAAAATGTCTTATTCGTCATGATAACCTATTAAAAATCTATTAAGATTGAGCGAAAAAGTAGTTGTTCACATTTTTTTCCCTTGCTTGAAGGAAATTTTTCGGAAATACTACAAATGTTTCGAATTTGAGACATACTTTTGAAATTTAACCCCCAACTTTCCGTGCTCGATTATAAATCATGCGTAAAAACGGTAAGAACAAATAAAGAAGCACTTTGATATTTAAATGCCAAACTGAATCCGGGTGATAAAACGACGTTGTTTACTAGTATCAAACATTTGGTAAATTCACCAATAATTTCTCTACAATGAAAAGATTTTTTTCAAAGCCATATTTGCAAACGCCAATTAGATCAAGATTTTTTATCTGTCCCAAACTCTATATTCGAACATTAAAATTTTAACCAATTATTGTGTTGTATATCGCAAATGTTTATGATATGTCTAACAGTATTTTCCAAGGACACAATATGTTGCCTTCCTGACACGACATCATTAGTTGACGTAGGAAGCGCGTAACTACGAATGTAGATCATGTTTGCTAAGCATTGAACACAATATGGCAAGTATGTTGTTTAGAAATAACATCATAGCATAAAACAAACTTTTGTCCGTTTGAATTAATAATCTGTGTATGATAAATTTCACATAATGATACAGATACCACGACGTTTTCTACATATTTGTCTTGCAATAAAGCAAATTCGAACATATGAAGTGCTTTAATGCAGTATTCTCTTCTGTTATATACCAGACATAAGGAGAGGCTTCAGCATAACAGTTTTAGCTCATTCACTCAAACTTCAAACAAACTAAATTCATCATGATTGCAGACGAACATAGCATACTAGTTTCATGCTTAAATGTTACGTCAAATTTTTCTTGCCTAAAACGTCAACGATATTTCACCCAAACCTTGTTTTTTCTCATGAGTACACCTTTATGTAATAACATTCGATGCATTTGGCAAGGAAGTTTGCTGTAGCCATTTGACTTTCATGCTCACAAAAATATACTTGAACAAGCTTTCTTGATCCCATATAAATTTACTACGCGGTAAAATTGTATGCGCGTTTATTGAAATATTCATGCACAATTTGGACACTAATTTTTAATATACATTTTACTGTAATTCCGTGTTTTGTGGGACAGTTCGTTTCAGTTATGTGCCTTATCTTCACACATAAACTTCAAAAAACACAGATATGATTCCAAAATCAAATGCATTTGCAGCAATTGCACATTACAAAACTTGAGTTTAAAATATTCAAATTTATTGGTTTCTAGTGGGATAATATTGGTATGGATATTATTGTAAATAAAAGCATGTGAGGTAATTGCTAACAAAATTATGACGATCAAAACTTATATATTTTCTATGTGATTTCGTCCAGTGCAATTCTGAAAGCCTGCAATAGGAAATACATTGGTAAAGAGATACCCATACACAATATACCGACTTCCAGCTGTGTTACTGATATGCATCCTATACAAGCATATCTCGAAATCAACTATTTTTATTAGACAGACATCATATGGGTGAAACTATAAACTGATATTGAAATTCATAAATACATAAAAAAAACGTAAAAATTTTCAAACGATAATTACATAACAATTTGTGAAAAATATTCATGTAAACAAATATGATTCAGTTCAATGAATGACCAATGAATAGAATGATGACACCAAAGGCGAAGCTCTTTCACAACCATTTTTCTCATTTTTCTTCTCTGTTGCTCTTGCGATAATTCGTTTTTCTTGACGACATCACTGATTCACTGAATCAAAGAAAATTGAAATTCCCGTTGGCGTTAGTAGTAACACTCAAATGAGTATACTAATTAGTTTTCTGAGAATGAACTGGGCGAGAATGTTGTTTAGTGGGAGCGTACTATAGTGAGAATGAAACCAATGAAAAAGACTATTTTTTAAAAATATATTCGGCTCGATAATATTGTTTGTAATTCTTTAAGTAGAATATTCTAATATTTCGGTTGGTTGGTTTTAAAAAAAAAATAATTCATATAATATTGAAATTCGATGTTAAAAAACGCCTTTGTAAACTCACCGCATTGATTCAGAATGTCCAGTGTTCTTTTTCAAGCAAAAAATGAATCTGAAGAGTTTTTTGTATCTTTTTTTAAACGCATTATTCATTGTTCCGTATATTATAAAATTCACACAGGAGTTGCTGAGTGCCAACCACACAAAAAACTGAAACGAAAATTAATAGGTTTTTAACATCTTTTTATAACAATTACATGTAGGTTGTACACGACCATGAGAGGGTAACTTTGCTTGAAATTGTCATTAACTTATGGATTCTCGTACCCAAGATTATATATGGAAAGTAAAAGTCTCATAGTTTGTCATTTTAGTGTAGAAAGCTATTTAGTTTAGATATATATTAAACTTCTAGGCAACACTGAGGACTGCGATTACTATTCTAAGGTTTGGGCATCAGGGCACTCGCTTGTGATTTGAAAAAAGTCACAATC